CTGAGGCTGCTGTCCTCCCCCAGCTCAGCTTTCAGCGCCTCGTAGGATTTCTTGTCCTGGGAAGGGGACGAAAGCACTCAGCCCCTCGGCACAGGCAGGGACCGAGCAAACTGCTGCCCGTGCCCTGGAGACACTGGCTGGGGCCAGATCCAGACTTGGTCCCCTTCTGTGAAGGGCCCCCCTGGTCTTTCCAGCCCCCTCCGTGACTCACCTCCCAGCTGAGAGGGTCCCAGGCCAGGAACCAGCCGGTGAAGGTGGGGGGCTCATAGCCCTGCTTCACCACGATGATGGGGGTGTCAAGGTCGCGCCCACTGGGGTGGCTCCGCAGGTACTCCTGCACCATCACCGCTGCCGCCTCCTTCTCCGACTCATTGGCACCTTTCCCGATCCAGAAGAAAACCTGCAACAGGGTCACCATGTCCACCACTGGGGTGGGACAGGGCCCTCTGGGGCCGTGCCCGACCTATGGTTGGGGGCACGCAGGATCTGTCCGTGGGAAAGAGCACTGGGAGTCCATCCTCAGCCATCTCTGGAGCAAGGAGGCTGGAAAAAAACAGCATGAGGCCAGGAACATTGGGGTTTCCAGCCTCCCAGTCCACCAACTCTGGCTGCTGCAGGTCCTCCACCCCTCCGGGGACATCAGTTTGTGGAATCAAAGGTGTAGCCCAGCCCTGTGCCCCCCCCTGCCTCACCTGGTCCCAGGTGTCCAGCAGGTAAACATCGTTCTCCTCCAGGTCGTCCTGGGTGAAGTCCACGATCTCCGTGGCCAAGAAAATGCCTGTCTTGTTGGAGCACTCAAAGAGACGGGGGGACACGGAGGGGTTTTCCTCCTGCAGCCTGGCAGGGGGGAAAGCGGTGGTGGTGGTGGGAATAAGGCTCACCTGGCTTGGGAAATGGTAGCCCACCTTACCCCCAAGGGTGGGTAGGGACAAGGGACCCCCAGGCACAGGGCTGGTACCTCTTGCTGTTGGCATACTGGGACTTGCCCCCCAAGGCCACCCAGAACTCAGGTGGCTCCTGTCCCTCTGCGATCACTGGCTTCTCTGTCTTGGAGATGATGTCGGCCACCGTCTTGCCCATCTCACGCTCATCCCCACTGCAGCCCTGCCAAGCAAGCATGGCTGCTCCATCACTGGCCCCAGCCAAGGAGGAGGTCATGGGGACATTTCTCTTGGGGGTGGCAGCACCCACCCTGGTGCCTGGGGGTACCTACCTTCCCATACCAGAGGTAGCAGCAGCTGGGGGTCTTGAGCACGAAGACATCGTTGGAGTTGAGGGAGGAAGCACGGACAGGCACCTCAAAGGCCTTGGTGTTGTACTCATTTGTGCCGTGGACATGGAAGAGGCGGGTGGAGGGTGTGGGCTCCTTGTTGCCCGCCCGTGAGGTGCCACCCTGAGGGGACGGAGTTGGGGACAGGGGGTTACCACCGGTGCCGCAGGCTCACCCACCTGTGGGCTTCCCCCCCTCACAGCCCTGCACTCACTGCGTATACCACCATCTTGCCCTTGAAGATGGCCATCAGGTGGGCTGGCTCCTTGCCCATGGTGACGCGGACCTGCACGGGCTCGTTGTTGTACTTCTGGTCCAGGATGACCGCTTGGTAGGCAGAGGCGGCCAGCTCATCTGCGCTGGCTTGGCGGCCCTGGGCAGAAGGGGGGCTCAGCGCCCACCACGGCAACCTTTTCCCTCTTGGGAAGAGGGAACCCTCATGCCATTCCCATGGGGTCATGTGTAGGGGCAGAGCACTCCCAGTATAGGGAGGTGCCCCTGTCCCCCACCCATGGGTCAGTGACCTGGAGGTCTCACCTGCCAGATGTAGATGATGCGGTTCACCTTGGGCCCCACGGTATAGGTGTAGAGCACCAGGTAGCAGTCCCCACCGTAGAAATGGCCCAGCCACTTCTTCTCCACAGGCACCAGCTCCTGGTTCTCCACACGCCAGACCTGGTGGGACAGGGACGGGGTTGTGCTGCTGCCAGGGCTGGTGCATCCCTCTGCCCTGCAGCCCCTGGTCCCAATGGCATCCCCTGGTACAGCCCAGAGGGTGGCCCAAGAGGGTCCCATATTCTGCCCCAGCAACCCTACCTCCACCTCCCCGGATCCGTCATCCACCATCTTCTGCTGGGCAGCCATCTGGGGCTTGGCGTGCAGCGTGGTGGCATCAAACTTCACCTGTTCCACCTTGGCTGCAGGGAAGGGCAGAGGGCTGAGCCACATCCCTCTGGCTGTGGGGGTCCCCACACCCCTCCCATCCCAATCCACCCCCTCCAGCATCGGAGGCAGACACTCACCCACTTTGCCCACAGTGTGGGTCTTGCCTAACCCACTGGTCTGGTTGGGGACAGTCCATTTTTGGAAGAGCTGCCTGAAGATGGTCGACTCAGACCCATCATTCTCTGTCTCCACGCTGGTGCTGGCTGGGTAGTTCTTGGCTTTGATGAAGCCCTGGAGGGATTCAGACCCAGAACATGGGTATATGGTATCTGACACCCTGGGGAGCAGCCAGGCTATCCCATAACCGACCTATAACCAGCACCCACCAGTGCCCTGCTCATCGCCTGCTGCTTCTCCTCCTTGTTGGCATTCTTGCCCTTCCACACAAAGATCTTGAGACCTCCTTGATCAAGGATGTAGCAGTCCTTGGAGAGGGGACAACAGCAGAAATTAGGACTTTGGGCAGCTTTAACCCTTCAAAAGCCAATTTGGTGGGTGAAGCCACGGCTTTTGAAGGGTTAAAGCTGCCAAGGAAATTGGCCACCTCTAAGCATCCTATGGGTGACAGACCTCATGCAGGAGCATGTCTTGAGTCAGGGGTCGAATCGCCACCTCCTGTATGACCAGGTTTCCGCTGGCATTGGAGATACTGGTAGGGGAAAAGAGAGGAGAAGGGGTTAGAAACGGGTCTGGAAAACCCCTTTCCCATCCCCACCTCGGGTTGGCAGGGTTGGGTGAGGGTGTCCCCTCCCTGTCTCCTTCCCCACCCTGATCATGTCAGAGGTGGTACCCAGGGACCCTCTTGCCCTGCCGTGGTGGCAACCTGGTTTGCAACTTGCCCTGCCATGCAGCTCACTCATGGCCATGAGGAGGGATAAAGCGGTGCCAGATGTGATGGGGCCACCCAGGGACATTGCCACCACATACGAAGGTCACGCTTGCATGAGCGCCTGTCCATCGGGTATCAACCCTATTGGCAGCGGGGACTCCCCTTGCTCCAACGGCATCGAAAGGACCTGTCCCTACACCTGTGGTGGCCTTGACCCCTCTTGGTGGCTGTCCATGGGGATGCGAGTTGTGGGATATAGCAGAAATGGGTGCTGGGTCCCTCTGGCACCCTGTGAGATGACCTCGCAGGCGATCCAACCCCAGCAACTCACTGGTAGAGCTTGAGAGAGGACTTGAGCTTCTGGTCCACTTTGTCGTCAGGGATGGCTGCCTTGATGTCCCTCTTCTCACCCAGCACGTGCATGAGGACCTTCATGAGCCCCGGCGAGGCATCTTCATTCTCACCATCCACTACACCCACCTTGGCACGGCCCCCACGCTCCCGGTCCCGGATGTCCTTGGCCAGGGTCATCGCCTGCACCGGGAGGAGAAGGAGTCAGCCTAGATCAGGGAGAGGGTGGCCGGTCACCCCCTTCCTCCAGCGGAGGCGACCCTGGGACCCCCTGGCCGTACCTTCAGCCTCTCGTTTCGGTTGCTCTCAGGGCCGTTCCACTGGATGATGAGCTGGCCCAGGTCCAGCAGGAACACATCCCCCCGGTTGAAGCTTTTCCAGCTCATCTCCACCTGCAGGATGGGAAAGGGGGGACATCAAGCAGCAGGACGCCTGGGTCACCCTGGCTCCTCTGGCCCTGTCTGCCCTGGCTCAATGCTGATGCCTCCAGTTTGTATACTTCCTCCCTACCCTAAGAGGGGGCTTTCTGGGATGAAGTTGCTCCCAAGGCAAGGCGGTGGTGGTCCCACACCCATTCTGTCCCCCGCTTGAAGGCAGCTGTGTATGGGGGTCTCTGGCCTGACCCCGACCCCAAACAGCATCTCTGCATTGAGGCTGGTGGCTAGGGACACCCCCACATCCCATGACTCACCTCTCCTGCCACCACGTTCCTCTTGCCCTTCACGTGTAGGAGGCGCTGGACGTTGTAGGTGTTTGTCTCCACGTGCTTCATGCCCGAGGCCACACCACCCTTCTTATAGCTGGCAGGAGACAGACACGGTGTGAGCCCTGGGCCCCCCCATTTCCCCATCCAGCAGGGTCCCCCTCCCACCTCTGTGTGCAGGGAGGTGTTCAGGGACACCCCCCACCCACCCACCCAGATAGATGGAGCGAGACCAGCTCCAGATACTCCTCCTGCCTCCCCCACCCCACTGGGAAAGGGCT